ATAGAACAGAATTTCAGGCAGTAGTCGCAGAACACTGCAAGTATCAAGAACGCTATACTAACCTTGATATCAGAGGCGTTCTCCAGCATGGCCTGTCTGGAAGACATCTCAGCCTGGGAAATGGAGAAATCTCCTTCCAGTGCATTCTGAACACGGATACTGGCCACCTGATGCTCATACTCCATCTGAAAGGAACGGCGCACACATGGACGCACAACCACACAAATGAGAACAACAGCAAGGCACAAAATATGCTAATTACATCAGAACCACAGAGATTACACCCGTGAGAACACAGTGATGCCACAGCAGCCTATGGTGCTACAAAAATGTGTACGATCCTGCAAGAGCTGCTCTTATGTTTTCATTTCACACTGACAGCATAAACAGTGATGATCAAGTCTTCTGACTCTGAAAGGCAGTTGCACTATACAGGCCTTCACATGCATATGAACTTAGTGACATCCCATTCTGGATGTGGTCCTGTTGGCTTCATCAGCTGATGGCCTCCAGCTCGCCTTGGAACGGCCTACGTTGGGCACTCCACCCTTTCAGGGACGAGAGCCTGCCCCAAGTGGAGGAGTTTAAGTATGTTGGGGTCTTGTTCACGAGTGACAGGAGAAGGGAGCGGGAGGTCGACAGACGGATCGATGACCGAGTATACAGCCATTTACTTTCATGTCAGTTTTTAAATAAGACTCAGCTATTTTCATAAGTTTGGTAGTTCTCTAGTAATTACCTGTTTTTTCTTCTTCTTCTTCTCCTTTTTGGTGAGATTAGCATACAGGTCATCTTCTGGCTTCTTGGCCTGCTCTGCGATGACGTCCTCTGCACTCTGAGGGTAACAATCAGAAAAGGTTTGTTCACTAAGCAAAGCAGAGAAGACAGGACAACACCCTTGGAGAAAGACTTACCATTGTGGTGTCACCTATGTCACTACCCTCCTCTTCCACATCTTCATCCATGCTACGTGGTCTCTGAGCAGTTTTTTCTTTCTACGTGGACAGAAAAGCCATCATTAGAGAAAAAGCACACCAACTCCATCATTATCCAACAGGTGTCATTCCTCTTGTGCTGTTGTCCAACTTCTTCGTGTTCCAGTGACTCTAAGACTTTAAAATAGTAACTGACTGGTACTTGTTTGGTTCCAGGTGTTGCACCTCTTAATGTTTGTAATGGTTCACTGTTGCTGACATTGGTAAATGATTGTGTTGGTTCTTAACCCTTTAAGACCTACCATAGAACCAAGTCCGCCAGAGCTTATATTATATTTTTACATGCTGTGGAGCCATTTTTGGGAGC